TATGATGGGATTGTACGCCGTCCGCACCGAGTACATGTATGGAGGGATTGTACGCCGTCTGCACCGAGTACATGTATGGAGGGACTGTACGCCGTCCGCACCGAGTACATGTATGGAGGGATTGTACACCCGTCCGCACCGAGTACATGTATGGAGGGATTGTACGCCGTCCACACCGAGTAAATGTATGGAGGGATTGTACGCCGTCCGCACCGAGTACATGTATGGTGGGATTGTACGCCGTCCGCACCGAGTACATGTATGGTGGGATTGTACGACCGTCCGCACAGAGTACATGTATGGTGGGATTGTACGCCATCCGCACCGAGTACATGTATGGTGGGATTGTACCCCGTCCGCACAGAGTACATGTATGGTGGGATTGTACGCCGTCCGCACCGAGTACATGTATGGAGGGATTGTACGCCGTCCGCACCGACGAGTACACCGATGGTGGGATTGTACGCCGTCCGCACCGAGTACATGGTGGGATTGTACGCCGTCCGCACCGAGTACATGTATGGTGGGATTGTACGCCGTCCGCACAGAGTACATGTATGGTGGGATTGTACGCCGTCCGCACCGAGTACATGTATGGTGGGATTGTACGCCGTCCGCACCGAGTACATGTATGGTGGGATTGTACGCCGTCCGCACCGAGTACATGTATGATGGGATTGTACAAGGTCCGGGCTTCAATCAGAATGTCCTAGGCCACACTTTTTTAAAGACCCCCGAGTGAAGACCCCTCCTGGCACTCTTTGTTTACATCTAAAAATGAGTCATTTCTTGCTAGAAAATTACCGAGAACCCCACCTATATTATGAATTTTTTTTAGCAGAAGCCCTGGAGAATAAAATGGAGGTCATTGCAATCTTTTATGTCACACGGTTTTTGCGCAGCAGTTTTTCAAATGCATTTTTATTGGGAAAACACTTTAATAAAAAAGAAAGTAAAAAAAAAAAAAAACCACAATATATACCCCCTTTACCAGTTTGGAGTTACAAAGGAGGTCTGTTGTTAGAATTACCGTATTTTTCGCTCCATAAGATGCACCTAAGTTTTAGAGGCAGAAAACAGGAAAAAAAATATTCGTCCAATGGACTGCAGACACAGTACAGGAGATGACCAGAGACTGCGGACACAGTACAGGAGATGACCAGAGACTGCGACACAGTACAGGAGATGACCAGAGACTGCGGACAAAAATCAGTACAGGAGATGACCAGAGACTGCGGACACAGTACAGGAGATGACCAGAGACTGCGGACACAGTACAGAGGAATGACCAGAGACTGCGGACACAGTACAGGAGATGACCAGAGACTGCGGACACAGTACAGGAGATGACCAGAGACTGCGGACAACAGCAGAGACTGCGGAGGTCAGAGACCAGAGACTGCTGACATAGCACAGGAGATGACAGAGACTGCGGACATAGCACAGGAGATGACCAGAGACTGCGGACACAGTAGGAGATGACAGAGATGACCAGGAGACTGACCAGAGACTGCGGACATAGCACAGGAGATGACCAGAGACTGCGGACATACTGACCAGAGACTGCGGACACAACAGAGATGACAGAGACTGCGGACAGTACAGGAGATGACAGAGACTGCGGACATAGTACAGGAGATGACAGAGACTGCGGACATACACAGGAGATGACCAGAGACTGACTGCGGACAGTACAGGGATGACCAGAGACTGCGGACATTACAGGAGATGACCAGAGACTGCGGACACAGTACAGGATGACCAGAGACTGCGGACATCAGCACAGGAGATGACCAGAGACTGCGGACATGGCACAGGAGAGGACCAGAGACTGTGGACATAGCACAGGAGAGGACCAGAGACTGCTGACATAGCACAGGAGATGACCAGAGACTGCTGACATAGCACAGGAGATGACCAGAGACTGCGGACAGTACAGGAGATGACCAGACCAGAACTGCGGACATAGTACAGGAGATGACCAGAGACTGCGGACATAGGAGGAGATGACCAGAGACTGCGGACATAGCACAGGAGATGACCAGAGACTGCGGACATAGCACAGGAGATGACCAGAGACTGCGGACATAGCAGAGAGATGACCAGAGACTGCGGACAGTACAGGAGATGATCAGAGACTGCGGACAGTACAGGAGATGACCAGAGACTGTGTGACATAGTACAGGAGATGACCAGAGACTGCGGACAGTACAGGGATGACCAGAGACTGCGGGGCACAGTACAGGAGATTGACCAGAGACTGCGGACATAGTACAGGAGATGACCAGAGACTGCGGACACAGTACAGGAGATGACCAGAGACTGCGGACACAGTACAGGAGATGACCAGAGACTGCGGACAGTACAGTACAGGGATGACCAGAGACTGCGGACAGTACAGGAGATGACAGAGACTGCGGACAGTACAGGAGATGACCAGAGAGACTGCGGACAGTACAGGAGATGACTGCTGACCTTTGGGGAGGGGACTGGAGCGGGTAGCTGAATTTGACAGGTACCCGCTCTTACTTCCGCGGAGTTGTTCTTTAGTTAGTGTCCGCTCTGCAGCGGGACCTTACCTGTTCCTCTATCCAGCCACCTGCTGTCTTCCCGGCTTCTGTAGTGTGGGCGCTCTGCTTGACAGCCGGGTGCCCAGTGCGCATGAGCGAGAAGTACTGCGCTTTGTGATTGGTCCAGCGGCTTCTGGGATCTGTCATGTGTCCCAGGTGCCGCCTTACCATTCACAAAGAGCACCGCTTCTTGCGCATGCGCACTTGGCACCCGGCTGTCAAGCCGATCGCCCACACTACAGAAGCCGGAAGACAGCGCTTACTGCTGGATAGAGGAACAGGTAAGGTCCCGCTGCAGAGCTGAGCGGCCCCTCCTGTATTCTGACACGCCAGTTTGCCCGCGGCGGTGGAAATACCGGACCAGCCGCTCCATATTCGCTCCATAAGACGCCTGACATTTACCTCTTTTTTTGGGGTCAAAAAAGTGAGTCTTATGGAGCGAAAAATACGGTATTTCGCTCACTTTGATGTTGCGGCGGTGATACTCACGTGTGTGTTAGCGCCCCTTTACATATGTGGGCGTGACCTACATGTGTGTTCACCACTGCGCGCAAGCACAGGGGGACGGGGGTGCTATAATTTTTTTTTTATTTATTATAATGTTGAGTTTTTTTTTCAATTTTTTTTTTATACACTGTCCTTTTACATTTTTTTTAATCAGTTTTTTTTTTTTGCTACCGCACAAAAATGTAAACATCGCATGCGATAACAATACAGCATGACAGGTCCTCTTTATGGAGAGATCTGGGATCTATAAGACGTATATCTCTCATCTACCTTTAAAAAGCAAAACGCTGCATGGAAGCAATTATCATGATGATGCTCTGATCTTCCTAGCAAAAATAGAGATGAGTGAAGGCCATCTTTCCTCCACTCAAATGCTATGCCCTGCTGCGGCAGATCGGTTTTTTTAGAAAATTACCAATCGTCATAAATTTAGGCCAAAATGTATTCTGTGACATGTCTTTGCTAAAAAAAAAATCCCAATACGTGTAAATTAATAGGTTTTCGTGAAAGTTATAGCGTTTACAAATGGCGGTATATATACTGGGATATTTTTTTTTTTTACTAGTAATGGCGGCAATCAGCGAGTTAGAGTGGGACTGCGGCGGGCATTCTGACCATAACTGACACTGACTAACTGCCACTGACATCTCCAGTGACACTAATACAGTGATCACGTATATACACATGATTTTGCGCAGCCCCACCTCCCTGTAGCAGTACTTCTGCTATAGGGTGGTCGGGAAGCGGTTAAAATGGTTTGTGTATTTTCATTGCTGCCTTTGAAGCCACATAACATACCCTGTCCCTGCTGTATAGTGTATTTATTTGGTACATGCCCCCCTTGGCAGCGCACAGCTTTCTCGGGATTTTTTATATACAGTGGTAGCCTATTAGCTCTAAGAATGGCCAGAATTCAGCAACAAGATTCATTCCCTATAGACTCCGCCTCTAAGTTGGGGTTTCCCTCATTTTGAATGAGATCCACCCTGGAAGAACTAAACTCCGGCAAATTCGCCCGTCACTAAATCCGATGCTGCAGCTCCATCTGGTCCCATCGCATTCTGCATTGAATGTAAAGTATAAAGAGACCTGAGAAACAATGACCTGACTCCCTGGTTTATGATCAGCGGAAACCCCATGAAAAAGGGGTGTGGCCTTAATATATGGGACTGAGTGGATATCACAGCTATTTTTCACCTCGGGGTCAGTAGCAGATAGATGTCCTTATTAATCCAACCGTATTACAGATCATTTATTTAAAGTGTTACTAAAAACACAACAGTAAAATCAGTCGGTATATGCAGTCATGCATGCTTGTTCTACTCACTGTGGGACCTAAGGGGTTAATCCTCTGCATTATCTAAAGAGGCTGTTTGATCTTGTCTTCTTCGATCCTTCTTTTCTTCTACTGTCCCCAATCTATTTGCTGATAGAACAGAGCCTTTGGAGTCACTCTGTACATGCTCAGCTTAGTGTGTATGTGCTAGAGTGTTTTTTTTTTCTTGGGAGAGTGCATGTGAACAGCACAGGGCCAATCAGCGCTATCCAGAGGGTCAGGGGTCATGCAGCCTCATAGGGCAGTCATAGGAGAATGAAAACTCCTCCTACTAGTTTTAACCAGTGCTCTGCTGGACACTGATAGAAGTCACAAGGCTGCTGTATGCTGCTGATGAATAAAGGTATTTAGCAGTTTATATTTACGAAAATAATTGCATTTCCGTGTTTTGTGTACTGTGGGAGACCAGATATGGTGAATGCAGGGCCCAGGGAGAGCGGATATAGTGAATGCAGGGTCCGGGAAGACCAGATATAGTGAATGCAGGGCCCGGGGAGAGCGGACATAGTGAATGCAGGGTCTGGGGTGACTAGATATAGTGAATGCAGAGTCCGGGGAGACCAGATATAGTGAATGCGGGGTCCAGGGAGGCCAGATATAGTGAATGCAGGGTCCGGGGAGAGCGGATATAGTGAATGCAGGGTCCGGGGAGAGCGGATATAGTGAATGCAGGGTCCGGGGAGAGCAGATATAGTGAATGCAGGGTCCGGGGAGAGCGGATATAGTGAATGCAGGGTCCGGGGAGAGCAGATATAGTGAATGCAGGGTCCGGGGAGAGCAGATATAGTGAATGCGGGGTCCAGGGAGACCAGATATAGTGAATGCGGGGTCCGGGGAGAGCAGATATAGTGAATGCGGGGTTCGGGGAGAGCGGATATAGTGAATGCTGGGTTCGGGGAGAGCAGATATAGGGAATGCAGGGTCCGGATAGACCAGATATAGTGAATGCTGGGCCGGGGGAGAGCAGATATAGTGAATGCGGGGTCCGGGGAGAGCGGATATAGTGAATGTGGGGTCCGGGGAGACCGGATATAGTGAATGCGGGGTTCGGGGAGAGAGCGGATATAGTGAATGCAGGGTCCAGGGAGAGCGGATATAGTGAATGCAGGGTCCAGGGAGAGCGGATATAGTGAATGCAGGGTCCAGGGAGAGCGGATATAGTGAATGCGGGGTCCGGGGAGAGCGGATATATAGTGAATGCGGGGTCCGGGGAGAGCAGATATAGTGAATGCGGGGTTCGGGGAGAGCGGATATAGTGAATGCTGGGTCCGGGGAGAGCGGATATAGGGAATGCAGGGTCCGGGTAGACCAGATATAGTGAATGCAGGGCCGGGGGAGAGCAGATATAGTGAATGCGGGGTTCGGGGAGAGCGGATATAGTGAATGGGGTCCCGGGAGACCAGATATAGTGAATGCGGGGTTCGGGGGAGAGCGGATATAGTGAATGAAAGGTCCGGGGGGAGCGGATATAGTGAATGCAGGGTCCGGGGAGAGCGGATATATAGTGAATGCAGGGTCCGGGGAGAGCGGATATAGTGAATGCAGGGTTCGGGGAGAGCGGATATAGTGAATGCTGGGTCCGGGGAGAGCGGATATAGGGAATGCAGGGTCCGGGTAGACCAGATATAGTGAATGCTGGGCCGGTCCGGGGCAGATAGAGCAGATATAGTGAATGCGGGGTCGGGGAGAGCGGATATAGTGAATGCTGGGTCCGGGGAGAGCGGATATAGGGAATGCAGGGTCCGGGTAGACCAGATATAGTGAATGCAGGGCCGGGGGAGAGCAGATATAGTGAATGCGGGGTCGGGAGAGCGGATATAGTGAATGCGGGGTCCGGGGAGAGCGGATATAGTGAATGCGGGGTTCGGGGAGAGCGGATATAGTGAATGAAGGGTCCGGGGAGAGCGGATATAGTGAATGCAGGGTCCGGGGAGAGCGGATATAGTGAATGCAGGGTCCGGGGAGAGCGGATATAGTGAATGCAGGGTTCGGGGAGACCGATGTAGTGAATTCGGGGTACGGGGAGACCAGATATAGTGAATGCAGGGTTCGGGGAGAGCGGATATAGTGAATGCTGGGTCCGGGGAGAGCGGATATAGGGAATGCAGGGTCCGGGGTAGACCAGATATAGTGAATGCTGGGTCCGGGGTAGAGCAGATATAGTGAATGGGGGGTCCGGGGAGAGCGGATATAGTGAATGTGGGGGGTCCGGGGAGACCAGATATAGTGAATGCGGGGTTCGGGGAGAGCGGATATAGTGAATGCAGGGTCCGGGGAGAGCGGATATAGTGAATGCAGGGTCCGGGAGAGCGGATATAGTGAATGCAGGGTCCGGGGAGAGGGGAGAGCAGATATAGTGTGAATGCGGGGTCCGGGGAGAGACCAGATATAGTGAATGCGGGGTTCGGGGAGAGCGGATATAGTGAATGCTGGGTCCGGGGAGACCAGATATAGTGAATGCAGGGCTGGGGGAGAGCAGATATAGTGAATGCGGGGTCCGGGGAGAGCGGATATAGTGAATGTGGGGTCCGGGGGGAGAGCAGATATAGTGAATGCGGGGTTCCGGGAGAGCGGATATAGTGAATGTGGGGTCCAGGGAGAGCGGATATATAGTGAATGCAGGGGTTCGGGGAGAGCGGATATAGTGAATGCAGGGTCCAGGGAGAGCGGATATAGTGAATGCAGGGCACGGGGAGACCGGATATAGTGAATGCAGGGTTCGGGGAGACCAGATATAGTGAATGCGGGGTTCGGGGAGAGCAGGGGATATAGTGAATGCGGGGTTCGGGGAGAGCAGATATAGTGAATGCGGGGTTCGGGAGAGAGCGATATAGTGAATGCAGGGCCAATATGAGGCAGATAGACACAAACTGTAGGAGAGCTACAGGTTCAGGTCTGGTTACTGACCTGCACCATGCAATAGAAATAAGATATACCTGTGCTAAAATCCAAACAGTCTATATATGTACAGTATATAACCCATCAGGTGCTAAAGGGGTGTGACCACATGTTTAAACTAAAAATTCTGACTAAACTCTCTGCACGTTTCTTAAACCTCCTTTCTAGCAAACTTTGCACAAAAACAGGGATTTTTAGTTTACATACATTGCAATATATGTTTAAGCCGGCCAACTACGTCAAAGTAATCCCTCTCTGGCCAGTCCCTAATCTACGCTGCAAAGTACTTGCTTATAGCATACTTATTTATTTTTTACAGGTACTTATATAGCGCCGTCAATTATGCAGCGATTTTACATATAACTTTAAATACATGCGCTAATGTGACAAATCATATACAGTATGCCAAAATAGAATAAAATATGTTGCCGCTGTTCCTAAAGTGAAAAACACTTTAAATAATAATAAATCAATAATACAGCGCAAACAATGCTTCAATGTGAAATAGTGAAAAAGTCCCCAACAAACTGTCCTTCAAAGAGATTTTTCTGTTGCAGGTGAAACGCGAAAGACTAGAATATGGTGCAAAAGGTCATTTATTTCAGTGCAGCAACTTAAAAGGTGAACTAATATATGAGATAGACTCATTACATGCAAAGCAAGATAGTTCAAGCCGTGATTTGTCATCATTGCGATGATTATGGCTTACAGCTCATGAAATACATTACTGAAATAAATGAACTTTTCCACGATATTCTAATTTTTTGAGTTTCGGACCCCTGCAAATCATGGAGGGGTCTGAAATTCACATTGTAGGTCCATTCCCACTCTGAGAGACAGAATTGAAAAACAAAATTCAGGAAATCACATTGTATGATTTTTAAAGAATGTATTTGTCTTGCACTGCTGAACATAAGTATTTGAACACCTGAGAAAATCAGTGTTATTATTTGGTACAGAAGCCTTTGTCTGCAATTACAGAGGTCAGACGTTTCCTGTAGTTCTTGACCAGGTTTGCACACACTGCAACAGTGATTTTGGCCCCACTCCTCCACACAGATCTTCTCTAGATCTGTCAGGTTTTGGGGCTGGTCTCATCTGACCACATGACTTTCCCCCATGCCTCCCTCTGGATCATCCAGATGGTCATTGGCAAACCTCAGACAGGCTTGGACATGTGATGACTTGAGCAGGGGAACCTTCCGTGCAATGCATGATTTGAAACCATGACGGCGTAGTGTTCTACCGACAGTGACGTTTGAAACTGTGGTCCCAGCTCTCTTCATGTCATTGACCAGCTCCTCCCTTGTAGTTCTGGGCTGATTCCTCACCTTTCTTATCATCAGTGATACCCCACGAGGTGAGACCCCAGTCCGAGGGAGACTGACAGTCATCTTTAGCCTTTTCCATTTTCTAACAATTGCTCCAACAGTTGATCTATTTTCACCAAGCTGCTTGGCAATAGCCCCGTAGCCCTTTCCAGCCTTGTGGAGGTCCACAATTTTGTCTCTGGTGTCTTTTGACAGCTCTTTGGTCTCGCCCATGGTAGTAGGCGTCTCACTGACTGTGGGGTAGACAGGTATCTTTAAAGAGCTCAGACAGGTGCTACTACGTTAGATTAATGAGTGGAGTAGAGGTGGACCTTTTAAAGGCACAGTAACAGGTATTTGAGACCCAGAATTCTTGCTGTTTCTTAGGTGTTCAAATACTTATGTTCAGCAGTGCAAGACAAATACATTCTTTAAAAATCATACAATGTGATTTCCTGACATTTTTGTTTTAATTCTGTCTCTCAGAGTGGAAATGCACCTACAATGTGAATTTCAGACCCCTCCATGATATCTAAGTGGGAGAACTTGCAAAATCGCAGGGTGTTCAAATACTTCTGTTCCTCACTGTATATCCAACAAGGGATATCCTTTATATCAAAGAGACATCCTCCATGTCCAGCAAAGAGACATCCTCTATATCCATCAAGGGATATCACCCATATCCATCAAGGGATATCACCCATATCCATCAAGGGATATCACCCATATCCATCAAGGGATATCACCCATATCCAGCAAAGGGATCACCCATATCCATCAAGGGATATCACCCATATCCATCAAGGGATATCACCCATAGCCAGCAAGGGATATCACCCATATCACAGCAAAGGATATCACCCATAGCCAGCAAGGGAAATCACCCATAGCCAGCAAGGGAAATCACCCCCATATCCAGCAAGGGAAATCACCCATATCCAGCAAGGGAAATCACCCACCCATCCACAGCCCACATCCAGCAAGGGAAATCACCCACAGCCAGCAAGGGAAATCACCCACAGCCAGCAAGGGAAATCACCCACATCCAGCAAGGGAATCACCCCCACATCCATCAAGGGATATCACCCACATCCATCAAGGGATATCACCCACATCCATCAAGGGATATCACCCACATCCATCAAGGGATATCACCCACATCCATCAAGGGATATCACCCATCCATCAAGGGATATCACCCACATCCATCAAGGGATATCACCACATCCATCAAGGGATATCACCCATATCCATCAGCAAGGAAATCACCCACATCCAGCAAGGGAAATCACCCATATCCAGCAAGGGATATCGGGAAATCCAGCAAGGGATATCACCCCATCCAGCAAGGGATATCACCCACATCCATCAAGGGATATCACCCACATCCATCAAGGGATATCACCCATATCCAGCAAGGGATATCACCCATATCCAGCAAGGGATATCACCCATATCCAGCAAAGGATATCACCCATATCCAGCAAGGGATATCACCCATATCCAGCAAGGGATATCACCCATATCCATCAAGGGATATCACCCATATCCAGCAAGGGATATCACCCATATCCAGCAAGGATATCACCCATATCCAGCAAGGATATCACCCATATCCAGCAAAGGGATATCACCCATATCCAGCAAAGGATATCACCCATATCCAGCAAGGGATATCACCCATATCCAGCAAGGGAAATCACCCATATCCAGCAAGGGAAATCACCCATATCCAGCAAGGGAAATCACCCATATCCAGCAAGGGAAATCACCCATATCCAGCAAGGGATATCACCCATATCCAGCAAGGGAATCACCCATATCCAGCAAGGGAAATCACCCATATCCAGCAAGGGAAATCACCCATATCCAGCAAGGGAAATCACCCATATCCAGCAAGGGAATCACCCATATCCAGCAAGGGAATCACCCATATCCAGCAAGGGAAATCACCCATATCCAGCAAGGGAAATCACCCATATCCATCCAGCAAGGGAAATCACCCATATCCAGCAAGGGAAATCACCCATATCCAGCAAAGGG